AGTAATATAGTAAGCTATTTTATAATTAACAAGCCGGTATCTAGTTTATAGTTTAGACAAAATTTATAAGGTTATCTGTAAAAAATGTCTTGTCATCTGAAAATAATTGCTAAAATTTGAATTAACCAAAATTTGAACAAACTCGTTTACCTTATTCTAGTGACTGAATCCCAATCTAACATGTAACAGCTGGTATTCTTTGGAACGGGGGTGTTGTTTACTTCTTGATCTCGTTGTGGCAACAGCAATCGGAAGCCATTGCGGTTACCATTGTGAACCTGTGATACAAAACATTAATCAAATCAAAAGTAGAACATTCAAACATAACAAACTTTGAAAATACTTAATACATGCCATATCGGGCCCAGTGTAGTAAAATAACAAAAAGTGAACGTAAATTACGAATTTATGAACGCGTCTGAAAATGAGTCAGGCAAAAAATTTGTTTGCCACCATGACTCAGCGTAAATGGCTTTTCATTAAAAATTACCCGGCAACGCATCTTTAAAATAGCCAGCGACGCTTTGGGCTTAAAAATCCATATATTGCCGACGCTACATCCACCCTCTGCATAGTGGACCCTAGGCATAATTAATCATCTTGCATTGGGTATATGAATGTTATGCACGGTATATAATAATAATGCACCGGGCTGTACCTAATTGTCTGTACTCTGTTGCATGCTGGGCCGCCGGCTATTGTTGTGGTATGTGGTCTTGCTCAGTTGCTCTGGATCACGTGTTTAGTCACTTTAGTATGCATCATGGAGAAGTCTTCTTGCTCTTGGCAGCATAATCATGGTACTTGTAAATTGTAATTACTTTATGACATTTAGTTCATTGCAGATCATCAGATGCAGTCAACTTAAAAGACAAATCTTTCACCAATAACCATACAAAATTATTTTTTTATGTTCTCAGAGGCATATCCTAATAGTAATAGTATTTCTAATTTGAAATTAAAATTGAACAGATTTTCCTAACTTGAAAAAAATTGATAGGAATTTTAATCATACTGAAACATAGTAGTAATTAGTAAACTAGTGATATACGTTTAGGCATCCAACAAAAAATGAAACAATAACAAATTTAGCCTACTGAAAAATCCCGATTTCTCCAACAAAACATCTACCTAACTCCAAGCAACACTGCAATGGCATATTTACCTGAACTCTGTCGAGCTCAGTTTCCATTTCACACTTTCAGCAACGATGACTAACAACTTGGTGGTGTTTGCGGGTTGTAGGTGAAGAAGACGCACGTTGACCGGACTAACAAGTAACAACTTAACATTGGGCCGCCTGACGAAGAGCACCACTGCCCTGGATGTAATGGACTATCATGATTCCTGCCTTGAGCCTTCCGGAACGGAACGTGGCCTTCAAGCCGTCCGTATCTAAGCCGTGGGTTGAACCAGCCCTCGGTCGAACGGCCACATGTCGAAGGACGATAAATTTTGAAACAGAACTATGCTATCGGAAACCTAACCTCAGATGCGGTGAACGTAAAATTACGTAATTTAACGATGCCCGGATGTCAGATTCGATCCGCGGCCGGGTGTTTTTTTTTATAATTTGATTTGAAGGCTTCGGGTATGCAGGTAGCACACCTCCCAGCCTGAGCACAACTGGGGGTTTTGGACACTTCACTTGACTTCTAGATCTCTTTACCTCCTAGCTAGCACTTTCACAGCCAGTGTGGCAGTAAATTGTGAAAAGAAAAATTAAAATTAGGCTTTTTTTTATTCACAGCCTGGTCACCATATTGCAGCTAAGCAGATATTGACCAAGGAGACGGATGGCAGCAGTGCGTTTCCTCATTGGGGCATCACCACCTCCAAGAGCTGAGGACAGCTCCCAGGGAAGAGACAGGCCCTCCAGTCTTGTGCGGAATTATCTTCGTTGGTTGATGAACAGCGTGCAGTGCAGGATGAGGTGTCTGATTGTGCCCTCTACATTACATTCTGGACAATTACTGGAGTTGGCTAAGTTGAATCTGGTCAGATGAGCGTTAACACCAGCATGTCCCAGGCGCAGACGTGACACAGCGCATTCAACGGAACGTGGTAGTGGTCCATAGTCCACATAGGATATCTCAGGTCCCAAGCTTCTTCGGAAGGTCCCCTTTTCTGTTTCTTGCACGTTGGCTGACCATTGGCGTGCCCACTCTTTAATGGTGAGTGACTTCAAGGTGCAGATCCACTCCTCGAAGCACAGTTGAGATCTTGCTGTGCGGTCGTTAGAATGTGCAAGGTTTGCTACCCTATCTGCCACCTCATTCCCACGGATCCCGATGTGTCCTCTGATCCAGCAAATTGCCACTTTTTCTAGTCCCTTGACAAGCATCAACTCCTGTATCTTGAAGACAATTTTGCGATATGAGTGCCCAGAAGAGTAGGATAAAAGCTGCAAAGCAGACCTTGAATCTGATAAAATCAAAACCGGCTCCTCCCTCATTGATGCATCCTCAGTGGCCAGCTGCATGGCTTTGTATATTGCAAACAGTTCAGCACCAAGGACTGTGTGCTCTCTTCTAAGTAACCAGCCAGTTGCCAATTGGGCTGACGGAACAAAAAGTCCAGCCGAAACTGACCCACCATCTGATTTGGATCCATCTGTATAAATTTGAACATGTTTTGGATAGTGTTCTAAGAGAAAATCAGAGAAACAGTTTTGGATAAGTTGATGTGGCATATTAATCAAGAAATTGTCTTGTATGTTAAGAAGTATGTTTGATGCAAGATCCACTTGAGGAGGGATTGGACTCATCAGAGGAGTTGCAGCACAACGAGTGAGTGTAAGGCCCAACTTTCGGAGGCTTTCCCGAGCTCTAGCAACAAAAGGAGTGTTACCATGAAGTCCCCTGTCTGAAAAACCCAGCATGTAGGGTACTTGATCCCCTGCAGGCGTGTGCAAATACCTTAATACCCATTTATTGTGCGCTCCATGAGTTTTCCCATGCAAGGGAGAAGAGTGATTGGTCGGTACCCTGTCACTTGCTCAGGAGGCTTTCCTGGTTTAGGAATAGGCACAACAATCCCATGCTTCCATGCATCAGGGACAAGCCCTGTGGCCGGGTGGTGCACGGCAGGTTGTATGCGAGGCCGGAGGAAGACTGCGCTCCCCTTAACATTCAGTGTTGCCAGGTTTTTTTTTCTCGGCGAGAATACCAGATTGCCTAGCTCAAAATACCAGAAATTTTATTGTTTAAAACGGACTAATACCTCCAAAATTAATAAAACTTTTAGGCAGAAATGTTGGTTATAAAAAGAAAAAAAAATTATCTTATGTACTGTGCATTTATCTAGCGGTAAACTTGCGGGTCCAAAAATGACGGGAAAGATTTAATCGCGCCGCTCTGCAGGTAATCTATATAGCTAATCCACGCCTACGCTGGAGGAAGTTCAAACTGCCAAGGTTTAACTTAATGCAGTAAATTTTCAGTAAGCCATAAAATACCAGTAAAATACCAGATTTAGGCAAATATACCAATATACCAGATCTAAAATATTCATACCAGACACCTTCTGAAGATACCAGATTTGTGAAATTTGGTATAGAAATATACCATCTGGCAACGCTGTTAACATTGAGCTAACAATTCAATTCCTCACTCAAGCCTGTTACGGACGGCTTGAAGTGTTGAAGGCTACGTTCCGGAAGGCAGGAATCATGATGGTCCGTTACATCCAGGGCAGTTGTGGTCTTCGGCAGGCGACCCGAAACGATTAAAAGTCTGAACCCGGACCCGGACCAAGGGACTAAAACTCGGACCCGGACAGGCCCGCCAGGCCGAGTTTACAAAAAAATGAAAGGCTCTGAAACGTTGAGAAAATTTGAAATTTTACACAGCAAATTTGAAATTTACTTAGAAAAATTTCGTCTAACCAGAACATAGGGTCTCGGACAAGTATATTTTTTGTACGAACTATTCGATAGAGAATGTTCTGAAACTTCCAGGAAATAAAAATAATTTTTATCGAATTCGTCTCATTTTACGTGTAAAAATTCATGGGAGGTCCGTGGGACCCCGAACCAAGTTCATAGAACCTGGACCCGGACTCTTGTATTTGAGTCACAGAAAAGTGCATTTTTCGATCGAACTGTTCGGTAGAGAATGTTTCGAAACGTCCAGAAAACATGAAGGCATTTTCATCCATTTTTTGGCAATTTACTTGGAAAATTTGTATGTCTGGCCCGGGAAACCCTGGACCCTGGTATTCGCATTTGGGTCACCGAAAACTGCCTTTTCCCCGGACCTGACACGAAATTTTTCTAAGTAAGTCGACAAAAAAATCGATACAAATGTTTTATGTTTTCTGAACGTTCCCGATCGACTAGTTCTATCGAAAAATGCACTTCTCTGTGACCCGAATACATGGGTCCGGATCCGGGTTTGAGTCCCTGGGTCCGATGTCCTCCGGATCTGACATGAAAATTTTCTAAGTAAAATGACAAAAATTCGCTTTTAATACTTCATATTTTCTGAACGTTTCAGAACATTCCCTATCGATTTGTTCGCTCGAAAAATGCACTACTCTGAGACCCTTATGTGCTGATCATACGAAATTGTTCAAAGTAAATTTTAAAATTTGCTAAAGTTTTCTAGACATTTCAGATGATTTGCAGCTTTTATTTTATGTGAGCCTGCTCCGGCAGACCGATCCGGGTTTCAGTCACTTGCTCCGAGTCCGGGTTTTCCCCCCAAAGAGTATCTTAGCTGACTACCTCTCTTCCAGGTTGCCGTCCTGCAAGTAATCTCGCGCACGAAGCAGGGCACGTGACAGACACAACTGAACAAACCATGCTACTTCCATACCATGCTACTTCCATGCCGGATATTTTTCATCATAGTAAATACTTCTTTAGTTAGAATACGGCACAGCATCAATTAAGTTATTCGCGGCTCTTAAATTATGCTAGCTGAATGTATATTCAGCTATTTTATTGCTGATGGTATAAAAATACCTTAGGGATAACTTAAGCAAAATTTATACAGGACTACCGACAAACATTTGCACTGTATCAGGCTATTTAGCATATGTTGTCTTTGTTCGGTCACTATTTAGAGAAATTACGTGAATTTCCATGAAATTAATGGCATGTGACACTTCCCAATAGAATAGTCGATCCAAACTCGAAGAGATTTAGTAGTTACGCAAAGACCACTCATTATCGTTCCCTGCAACCCTAAGTTGCAATGATTTCACGAGGATTTTTGACCCTTGGATGTTATCAAGTTTGTTAAGTGCATATGCCCTTCAATAATAAACACTTTCTCATTTTTTTCAACGAATTCCATACTTGCTAGAACAATTTTGCAATTTTAAGTTATAATGTTCGAAAAAAGATCATTAATAATAAAGTTCATTGTGACGTATACGTCGCAACTCGGTGTTCTTCCCATCATTTAAGCCGCTAGAAATTGTACCATTTTATTTCATAGTGTACTTACTTTTCATTTTGGCATAACATTAATTGTATTTGTGTTCAATCATACCTTTAGTAAATTTCAGGATTTGACCAATTGTTTCATTTCCTGTTTTCTTTAGCCACCCACCAAGTCTATAGTTGCATGTAATCAGTATTCGTGAGTAGGTGTTCACACAATCCAACGTTTTCTAAGCAGGACCCAAGATATCTAGTAGAAAAGTAATAATTTGGTATGGCTGAAAAGCCACCATGCACGAAACGGATTTAGACGGGGAGCAGGATGGGATTAACATTAATGTATGAATTCCATATTGACTCTGCTAGCATGGTTCCTATCATCAGAACCCAATAAATGCGCTGTTCATTTGAGGTGTTAAAGTAGTTTCTGGGCACTACAAATATTATACTTTACTGTGTCGAACAGCCGCATGAGAGAACGAGCTCTGGCACCCTCAGTGTCCGGGCAGCAGCTCTGTCACCCGCCTTGCTCGGGCTGCAGCTCTGGAACCCTGTGTCGGGCAACAGCTCTGCCACTCGCCGTGTTCGAGCAGCAGTTCTGGCGCAGCAACTTCGCACTTCTTTCAGACATAATGCGTTTAGGAAATTTCATTTAGGAAATATTTGTTAAATAATCTCTTGCTATTACAGCAGCCGGACATGTCATTAGAAACGCAAAACATATACGACGCCCGATGATGGGCGCATTCAGTTTTTTGGCTTTCATTTCTTTTGAAAAAATCTACACTACTTCATGCTGAAGTCGTGCTAACATTTATTTGCGATATTTTTTGCTATTTACTTGTAACTAACATCTGGAGAATTTATGCATTGACATGTTATTATACATTTCCAGTTCATCGGTATGCCAGGGCTTAGTCTTATTCCCACAGTCATCAGAAATAATGATAATAAAGATCATCA